GCAAGATAGGAACAGGGAATTAAGCAGTATACTCTGTATAAAATAAGTAAGCTACAAGGACATAATGAACAATATAGGGAATATAGCCGAACTTTTATAATATTCATAACTACAGATGGAGTATAACCTTTACAATTTTTAAATAACTTTGTGCACCTGAAACATATAATATTGTACATCAATTATACTTCAATTTAAAAAAAGACTGGGGATAGGAGCCAAGATGGCGGAGGAACAGGACGGGGAGACCACTTTCTCCATCACAAATTCATCGAAAGAACAATTGAACGCTGAGCAAACTTCACAAAACAACTTCTGATCACTAGCTGAGGTCATCAGGCGCCCAGAAAAGCAGCCCATCATCTTCGAAAGGAGGTGGGACAAAATATAAAAGATAAAAAGAGAGACAAAAGAGCTGGGGACGGAGACCCATCCCTGGAAGGGAGTCGTGATAGAGGAAGTTTCCAAACACCAGGAAACCCTCTCATGGGCAGGTCTGGGGGAAGTTTTCGAACCTTGGAGGGCAACCTAACTGGGAGGAAAAATAAATAAAACCCACAGATTACATGCCTAAAAGCAACTCCCAGCAGAAAAGTACCCCAGATGCCCGTATCCGCCACCATCAAGTGGGGGCCGAACGGAGAGGAGCAGGCAGCATTGCTTAGGGGAAGGACCGGGCCCGAAGGCCCTGAGGGCAATCGGAGGGAACTAACGTGAGATAGCAACTTAAACTGTGGGATAGCAAGAGAGAGAGAGAAAATTAACCAGCCCGAACACACTGCCGGCCGTTCGCAGAACAAAGGAACTGAGCAATTCCAGAGAAGAGCTAGCCGGCGGCGGACCGGCCCAGCCCCGCCAGAGGCAGGAGGCAGAGGGAAGGGGAAGGGGGCAAACGTGGCCCCAGAGACGGCACCCCTACCAAACTGCAAAAGGCCTCCAGTTTCTAACCAAAGACTTCCTGAGATTCTGGATGGTCGACAACTGCCGGGAGGGTCGCGGCTACAGGCCAGCTCCCGAGAACAGACACAAGGCGCACGCACCCAACCGGCACGTGGGGAAACTGAGGCTGGGGCCGTGGAGGGGAGAGGGCGCGCCGCACCCGGGTAGAGTGCGCCCGTCAAGCTCCTGGCTGCCTGAGCTGCTCGGGCGGGGAAGGCACAAAACGCAGGCCCAACCGAGTCCACGCTTTTGTGGAGTACCCAAAAACTGGAACCGCATGCCACGCAGGGCCCGCTCCATATAGAGCAGCCGGGAGCCTGAGCAGTGTAGACGGGGAAAGCACTGACGCCCGTGAGCGGGGCAAACCCAGTGTGGCCGGAACACGGTGAGTGCTATCCACACAGAGCGGTATCTGTCTGCAGCGCCCCGCCCTCCCCGT